AGGCGCAGCAGAGCTTTTCTGCAGCTCTCATGTTTTTGCGCTCGAGCTGTGGGTGATGTTTTGTGCGTGTGAGTGACGGGAGTGTCTTGCACCAAGCTGTAAAATAAACATCACTGAGTGACGAAGCGGAGCCGCGCTCTGAGCGGGACAGCGGCGTATTTCAGTCAGCTGTGGTCTTGTGTAGTTATGGCCGCACGGTTGGCATTCGACCATCGCGGTGCTGCAGCCCTGTTAGTGACCCAACCCCCATCCTTTTCAACTTTTTGTATGGAGAAACTGTGACGGGAGCCATGGAGGAAGAGGAATCCGGTCGTTTAGTGGCCTCCGAGGCGACGGAGAGGGAGGCTAAAGTGCTCGAGTGGCCGTTCGGCGGCCCCCGAGGCCCTGGGTAGCCGTTTGGTCACGGTTAACGGTTGGCTGGGTTTTAGAATAACACAGAGCGCTAATCAGGCTCTCGGCTCTTCCTGACTTTAATCTTACAGTGATAGTTTGACACACACATCCAGTCCCATATCACTAATGTGGTCAGTCAGTTAAGACATTTTACTTCTGTAGTTTTAACGCTGGAGAAATGAGGTTAACGTAGCTAACAAGCTTATACCCCACCAGTTCGCATGGTGCCGCCTGCACGTCTAAGTGAACTGTTCAGTATCTCTGATAGACTTGATTATGTGGTTTCTGACGCTGTATGACTCACTGTTATCTATAAACATGGACTAAAGTCCACCGGTCAGGCATAACATTATGACCACCTCCTTGTTTCTGCGCTCATTGTCCATTTTATCAGCTCCACTTACTATATAGGTGCACTTTGTAGTTCTACAGTTACAGACTGTAGTCCATCTGTTTCTCTGATACTTTGTTAGCCCCCTTTTACACTGTTCTTCAGTGGTCAGGACCCCCATGGACCCTCACAGAGCAGGTACTATTTGGGTGGTGGATCATTCTCAGCACTGCAGTAACACTGACGTGGTGGTGGTGTGTTAGTGTGTGTTGTGCTGGTCTGAGTGGATCAGACACGAGTTTTTAAACACTGTGTCCACTCACTGTCCACTCTATTAGACACTCCTACCTTGTCAGTCCACCTTGTAGATGTAAAGTCAGAGACGATAGCTCATCTGCTGCTGCACAGTTTGTGTTGGTCATCCTCTAGTCCTTCATCAGTGGTCACAGGACGCTGCCCACAGGACACTGTTGGCTGGATATTTTTGGTTGGTGGACTATTCTCAGTCCAGCAGTGACACTGAGGTGTTTAAAAACTCCAGCAGCTCTGCTGTGTCTGATCCACTCGATGAGAGAGAGAGAGAGAGAGAGAGAGGAAAGAGTGCAAGAGATATTAAGGATTTCTAAAATCGGGCCTCAGTTTTTCAGCTGTAGGGCTGAATCATGTCTTTACTCGGTGCTCCAGGTCAAAAGGGCCTTTTAAGTTAAAATATTAGAATATTTGTGTTCAGCATTTCTTATCTGAAGTTCAATTAACCAAAAAATGTTAACCTCCTAACTCACTTAAGTCGAAGTTGCATCGGTTTTTACAGTGTGTGTGAAAAAACAGCCCAAACTCGGCCCGAAACCTCCAGTTTTACCAGGGCCCTGTTGGGCTCGGGTAGAGAAGCAGACCTGTAATCTCTGCTTCTTGTTAGGTTTTTTGTTTACGCACCTGAATCGAATTTAGACTCTTTCTGCTTACTGTGTGTTTTGAGTTGATCGGAGTTTCAGCTGTTTACCGTCTCTGATAAACGTGAACTGACTGCTGTGTAAGCAGAGAGGAGTTCAGTCAAAGGAGAGGCTAATTAGTAGTTTGTCAGCCGTTTGCAGCGACTCCGGCGCTGACTGTGTCTTTGGTTACGTTGTGGAATTCGGTGGAATTCAGATTCCAGTCTACTCTGTAATCACAACATTTCCCGCCCACTTTCTCTTCACTGGCTGCTGAGAGAGACTGGCACCGGGCTACAGCCAATAGGAGCGCAGAGTTACCATACTGAGCGATAGGCTTTCTCAAAGCGGCTCTGTAGAGAACCAAAAGCTTTTCCGTGACTTGTAACGATAGCAGAATGGTTTTTGGTGCAGTATAGAACTATAAACGGGTTCTTATCGCGCAGAAGGACAGTAATAACGATAAATGGAGAATATAGAGGTTGATCTTCACAACCTGGTGGTGCCATAATTACAGTGGCACGCTAAGGCTTCGTTCACACAGCAGGTAAAGGCGGCCCAAATCTGATCTTTTGTGATCTTCATTTGTGACAGATGTGCAGAAACAGCACACTGAATCTGATATTAATACAAGTGATCTGATATAAGTTAAAGCTGTGTCATGCAAAGAAGGAGCCATATGTGAACACGATCCAGAAACACTGCCGTCTTCTCTGGGCCCAAGCTCATTTCAGATGGACTGAGGCAAAGTGGAGAAGTGTCCTGTGGCCTTTTCCCAACTTTTTTGAGATGCGTTGCTGCCATCAAGTTGTAAATGAGTTAGTTTTTCATGAAATGGTAAAATGTCTCACTTTCAACATGTGATATGTGTTCTGTGTTCTACTGTGAATAAAATGTGGGTCTGAGATTTGCGAATCATTGCATTGTTTTTATTTACATTTATTTACACTTTACACAGCGTCCCAACTTTTTTAGAATTGGGGTTGTAAATGCTTAATTACTTACTGTCGTTATCAGAAAAGTTTCCACGTGCGCAGTGAATTAACACGGCATCGTGAAAATTAAATTATTTACCTTTTTTAAAGTCGTTTTGGTTCTTATTTATAAAAGAGACTAAAAAGTGTAGGGAGGACATTAATATATTATTTATTCTGTATTCTGAGTCCAGGTAGCACCGGTTAGTCTGCCTCCTCTTTGGGCTGAGTTGTTCGACAGGGAACGTCGTCCAACTTTCTAGGTAAATGCGAGTTTTCCGAGGGCTGGGAAAGGTCTGAAAGATCTAACAAGAAGTCTGGAAATTTGAGGCTGGAAAAACATGGAATTCTGGAAATGGAGAAGGAACGCTGTACACATGACTTGTGTCACTTTTGTATCTTTCTCTCCTGACTTCCTCTGACATCTGCAGAGAGGCTTCAAGAGGAAGGAAGGAAGCCATTTAGAGTAATGGGGCTGTCAGTAGCCCAGGAACTCCTCTCTGCTGCTGAGATTCAAATGGATTGGAGAGCACACAGCCTGTTTTTGTACAACTGCCAGGACATCATCACTATTCATGATTCGGGCTGCCCTTTGCATTGAGTTAAATTTTCACTATGAGCAGACCAATAAACGTGTGTGTGTGTGTGTGTGTGTAATAATATGCCCCGTATGTATTATATATGTATATATTTGAGGACCCGTATGCAGTACTGTGCAATAGTCAGAGACCACCTTTCATTCATTTAACTGATTAAGAACTCCAGAGAAAATGTGTCTCCTAACAACCACCTGGAAGACCTGGTCGACCCCAAACCTGCCCCCATCAGATAAACATCACTTAAAGCTTTCATCTCTGAGAGAGAGGAGAAAATCAAGCTGCTTCAGATCTGAAAACATCCACAGGTGTTTCTGTCCATCCTTCCACTGTGAGAAGACGACTCAGCGCTGTGGGTCTGAAAGGATGTGTAGCTGTCAAGAAGAACCTCACTGAGAAAAGGAGACGGACACATCAAACAAAGAAGCTGAACGATGGACTGACCACCCCAGAGTCCAGACCTCAACACCACTGAATGTGTTTGATTACTTCAGAAAATGATCAACCAGCTTCTAAGACTGAACTTTGGAGGTGTGTCTGCAGATTCTTTGAGGAACTGAAAGTGAGTCTCCTGAGAAGAATGGAGACTGGAATAAAGGTGAAGAGTGACTCACTGACTCACACAGCGGAGATTAGATTTAGCTGTTGTATCATTTTCTGTTAAATTTGTTTTTGTCTGCTTAATGGCTGTTTTGAGTGGAACCTAAATGACGGTGGTCTCTGAGTTTTGCACAGTACTGTTTATGTAACTGAGTATATATATAATATGTCCTGTATGTAAAAAGCACTTTACAGAGTCAGGACTGCTGTTGTTGCTCCTATTTTGGTCCTGAAAATGTACAAAAACAAACACAGGCTCAGTTCGTCTCATGCATTCTTACATTCTTAACGCTGAGTTGAGTTGCTTGAGTTTTGCCCTCTGTGGTGAAAAATGGCTCTCGTCCATTCACTGGAAGCCGTGGTGCGTTTAATCTGTTGAACTGCCTCCAGGGGTGTGATGGGAAAGAGCCTCCTCTTAAAGGAGAATTCCACCAATTTTTCAAAATTTCTGCATAACAGTGTGTGAGATGTAAACAGAGTGATTCAGAGTGGTTTGGTGTGAAATGGTTCAGATTTCTTTACAGTGGTGGTGATAGGAACCAGGGGTCGCCATGGCTACAACACAACTATAGGCATTTTATTTACTATCCAAATCCACCCCTACATGTACCCGACCACCATGAAAGACTTGAAGAAATATAGATTTTAGACCAAAATCTTCTCAGAACTATCATAAAACAGTGTCTCAGTCATCAGGCAGTGAATTCATAACCACTTTCATGTAGTAACTTTCTGTGAGGGAGCTTTTAGAGGTGGACGTCTGGTTCCTATCACCACCACTGAGAACAGTTCTGACTCTGTAAGTTTCTCTAGAACAGAGCGTTTCACACCAAACCACTCTGAACGACTCTGTTTACATCTTAACTGTTCAATTATGGCAAAATTTTGAAAATCAGTGGAGTTCCCCTTCTAGGAAGGGTCTGAATCTTCTGCTTGTTTTGTTCTGTTTTTAATTTCAGGTCAGCACGAAAACGTCCACATTAGCTTTTCAGATTTTTTCCAGGTTAGGTTTGCAGCACAAAGTCCGACTGAATGTCCTTATATGGCCTTTTTGCTGAGAAATCGTTTCTGTTTTTAGCCTTTTGACTTAAATCCCGTTTTTCTTTCCCTGTTTAAACCAAAGTGTTGGCTGTTCTGTGTTGTTTTGACGTTTTCCCCCCTGTGTTTCTGTGTTCAGGAGTTTGCGGCGCTGACTAAGGAGGTGAACATGTGCAGAGAGCAGCTTCTGGAGAGAGAAGAGGAGATCGCGGAGCTGAAGGCCGAGAGAAACAACACACGGGTAGGGATGAGTTGGAGTTCAGCACATAGTCGAATGTCATCTCTTCAGCCTTTTTTAATGTAAAATATTCTCAAATATTGAGATAAATCTAGCCTTGATTCATCTCTGTCACCATAAAGTCAACAACGAACGCTGGAAACGACCATCTGCAAAGGCCAAAAGCACATATTTAAAAATATTTTCAGATTTTTATGCAAATTGTTCAAAAGTTCTTGCTTAATTTAGTGTTTCAGACGGGGCTGCTGGAACCACCGTGGCGAGCGGGCCCCACATTTGACCCACCACTTTTCAAAGTACTGGGCGATGCCCCACTACTTTCTGAGTTCAGGACACACATAAAAACCTCCCCTTTCCCTAAAAAGCATAAAGTGCGGACCAGCAAGAGCAGACAGAGTAAAACTGAGCGGCAGAGCCAATCAGAGTCTCCATTTCAGCTGGGAGGCGCTTTCAGACCCGCCTTGGATGGTGTGGAACTGTAAGACTTTTTCTTCAGCTCTGTTTTGACATGGGACTCCACCCGAATTCAGATTGCCAAACAGCACTCCTCCCATATTCAGGTTCACATAAAAGAACACTCCACCCAAATTCAGGCAGCACCAAACAGCTGAACTGCGCTGATTCTCGAGGGAATTCAACTCGTTTTTTTTTTCCAGAGCACATTTCGTCTGTACTGTCTGCACAATCTGCTGCTTTAACATTTCACTCTTCACAAACACTCGTCTTGTTCCTGCACTGCCAGATGCTGTAAAAGAACAAGAGACAAGCAATAAAATAATGAAATGCGTCAGATTTTGGCACGTGGACCATGACGCATATTTTGGCCAAGCATCAGCGACCTGATCGATTAAATTTAACCCCTTATTCTCCAGGGTATATTTCTGTTTTTCCATCTGAATTTACGTCACCAAATCGTAAGGCAAATTGTTCAGTAACTGCATGAAATAAATGTAAAATTTTGGGGGTTTTTTTTGTAAAAGTTCCACACAAATTAACAGAAAATGTATTATGATCATAAACATATTGCTATGTGCTTACATTTTTCTGCTGAAAACCAAAAATCTTAGATCCTCTTTGTATGTTTTTATAAAAAAATATATATTATCTGAGATTCAGTTTACAGCTTTTTTTTATTTTTTTTTCAGGAGAAAAAAAAAATGAGTTCAGCTTTTTTTATTATAAAGTTTTAAAATTACATCACCCATCTAATCGACTGGAAAGAAGACAGTTACAGCTCTCATATGACCCCCACCTTTAGAATGAAGCATATGAAATATGAAAGTTATGAAGTAAAGAATATGACGAAGTGCGTTTTGGAACCACTGGTTGCTCCAAAGAGTTAGAAAGGTTAAAGTGGTAGATGATAAGGTGATAAGTGTGTCTATTTTCTGTTTTTCTGTTTTCATGGTGGTGAATGTGAGACTAACAGAGCGCTGGCATCCCTGCAAAACGTCTGATCAATAAACAAACACCCACGTGTGTAATTTAGTCCACTTTAGCTCTTATAGTCCACAATCCAAACCAAAGGAAAGAGATACAGTAGCACAAAAAAACAAATCGTGGTGCAGACTTTAGAGAATGAACTGGGTATGAAAACAGCCTGAGATTCTTCAGAGATGTTAGCTAACAAATACTGCTTTCTGAGGCTGCAGCTACTGAAGCAGCATCAAAACTAACACTGACACTGTTCATGATCAGGTTCGGAGGTGGGTAGAGGAGCCTAAATCAATACTCAAGTAAAAGTATTTAAACTTGCATAAAATGATTACACAAGTAAAAGTACCTTCTGCAAAACACCTCCAGTAGAAATACGAAAGGAGCAGGTCAAAAATCTGCTTAAGTGCTGAGTACTGCTGTGGAACTCCTTAGTACATCCAGCATTTATCAGCATAGCAACTGAAGACTGTGCAGCTCTGTTGTTCTCTTTTTGGGATTCTTGTGGTTTAAAATGCAAAACTCCAAAGTCTGAGAAGGAACCGATCACGCGGTAGTACAAATCGCTGTTGTCGGAAGAAAACCTCGTCTCTCCATTTTTGTTTTTCAGGTTTTGACATAATTTAAAAATACCTGTTGCCCTTTACATTGTGTGTAAATATCATGATGAATGGACTAAAAGAAACGACCCAAAACGACTTGGAGAAAAGTCTGGTTCCATTGACTTACATTAAAAGTAAAGTAGGTTTTTTCCTTCTCCTGTAAAGTTACCATTTTGGAGATACGAGGTTTTGTTCCGGCAACAGTGAAATATTGCCACCATCAAATCAAACTGAAATTAAACAAAAAATTGAATTAGTATGTAAATACGAGTAGAAAGATTCCTTTATCCACTTTAGTAGAATTAAAAGTATTATAATTTAAGAGAAAATACTCAGGAGAGTAAAAGTCCATCGACATTTTACTGAAGTAGAGTTACTTGAGTAAATGTGATTACTTACCACCTTCTCTGAATAGGTTTATAAAGACACTTCATTAGCATGACATGAAAGTCAGTTTTATTCAGTGGCCTAATTGCATTTCATTACTCAGTGTATATAAAAAAAAAAGTTTTGCCCCTCCACTTTGAGGTGTGGCGCCACCCCTGGTTTGATGTATGTTAATGTATGGATGTAAACAGAGCCATTCATAGTGTTTTGGTGTGAAATGGTTCAAAATTTCTCCCCTCAAACTCTTTGATCTTGACATATAAAAGCCGATATCTGTGTTAAAAATCATGCCGCAGAGAAAAACTGCGGTTTGTGTATCAGTGACCACCTTTTGTTGGCGAAATATCGTCTGTTGATGCTGAAGGATTAACTTGGTGATAAGTGAGGAAAATATGAACCTTCACCTCCTTTCACATTTCTCCAGGGGCTCAGGAGCACGTGGCGAACTTCTTTACGGCAATTTGAGGGACGTTAGAACTCCCCCCGCCCTCTTCAGAGAGGCCCCGAAGGCCCCGAGCGGCTCTGAGGAAGCGTGTGGAGGCTCTAATCCCTCGGCCCCCTGAGCGCCTGACACAGTTGGCCTCTGTCCAGCGGCCCAGAGCGTGGAGGGGTGGAGCGAGGGATTAGTGTGGGGTGTAGAGGATGAGTTTGGGCTTTATTGTCCTGGCTGCCCTGCTGGAGTCCCACTGCACTCCTCAGGGGGAAAAAGAGGGGTCTGAGTTCTTGGACCCTCCAAACAGGCCTTAAACCGAAGAAACATGATATCAGAGTCAGTATCAGCAGATAAGGGCTTATAACGGTCACTAACACTGGACTGTACCTCTGACTGATATTTCAAACTGATATTTGATGATTTATGTATTGAAATCCAGAAAAGCTGAGTGTTTAGGTGACGCTTGCGTTACTGCTAATAGACATTTCAGTCTAATTTTTAAGACAATTGAAACAAAGCACTTTTAAAGGGAAATTCCACCATTATTTTTAAAATTCCCCCCACGATTCAGTGGTTGAGATGTAGGCAGAGTGGTTGAGAGTGATTTGGTGTGAAATGGTTGATTGTACGGCTGAACGATTGATCGATATTGATATATCGAAAATGCAATTTTCAAATCTCAAGGGCTCCAATTTTTTAAAAATTAGCCAATATCATCAAAAAGTTACCAAAAAAGTTTTAAGAGGGAACCTAATAATGCAGAGTTGTATACTGCCTGTAGAGAGAGACCAATCAGAGGCAACCAAACGTCCATGTGTTGTGACATCACAGCCACAACTTACTGGCTGTCTGGCACGCTACTTTAAAGGGTCAAGCCTCAAGCCAGAAAAACGGAGTTTCTGGTCTTCTTGGTAAAAAAAAAAAACAGGTCTGGATCTCATTTTATGGAAAATAATCGCAATTTTAATCTATTTTTTAAATCAATTAAAAAAGGTATTTTCCCTAAATCGTTCAGCCCTAGTAGAGACTCAGATGTCTTTACAGTGGTGCTGATGGGAACCAGGGGTCGCCATGACTACAGTCTGAAAAAGTAAGTTACGTTTGGGGACTATTTTGCCTCACAACACGGACGTCTGGTTCCTATCACCACCACTGTGAACAGTTCTGACTCAGTAAGTTTCTCTAGAACGGAGCGTTTCACACCAAACCACTCTGAATGACTCTGAACGACTCTGTTTACATCTTAACATAAGATTATAGTTAATTATGCAGGAAAGTTGAACAGATGAGTGTAATTTTAGGATGTTTTGGCCAAGAAGACTAGCCTATCTACTTTTTTTGGGCAGAGGCTTCAGCGCTAAACTTTGTGTCGACTGCTAGTTAGTGTGGTTGTGATGTCACAGGCTCTGAGTAATCAAGTTTTCCTGCTTAACGCTGATTAAATTTACACCTCTTGTGATTTGAAATCGTCCTCTTTCAGGTGCGATTTAATACAAATAAAGTTTCAGATTTGACTGATATTTCGAACAAATATTTGACAACTCGTTTATTTTGTTGTAGAACATTTAGAGGAAAAAAGGTTAGTTTTTAATTATTTAATTAATTTTTTTTGACCATCTACAAACAAACAACAACAAACCCTTGATAGCAAGACGATAGTGGGCCACTGTTGGCCCACTGATGGCACAGCTGATGGTCCAGTGGCGTTTTCCTCAGCGTTTTCCGGGCGGCCGACCGGTTTTTAAGCAGAGTAATAGACAAAATTCCACTTATCATCGCTCATTTTTTCACTCACAGTCGAATTTGTTTTTCCTTCTTTCCTTTCTTTAGTTATACTTTGTAAATTAGTAAATAATTTTAATCCAGCTCAGCATGAAGGACAGTAATCTGGGTGGTCCGAGGGTGGACCAGCAGTGGCAAACAGTCAGAGGGAGGCTGAACTTATCAAGCCAGCGGACCGATATGAGCTCGCTGTCTGGGAGGGTTCAGATGTCTTTACAGTGGTGTTGATAGGAACCAGGGGTCACCATGACCACAACACAGAT